TGAATAGGGATCGGAACACTTTTCCTCGCTAGAAAGAACGAGATCCCACGCAAATAGTACTTTCGGCCTTATGTGCGAATAACCCCGTTCACGCGAACGTGCATATGAGAGACGGGCGCAACGACGGAAAAGAATTCACGGTGGGGTCATCCCTCCTCCTCCGATCCAATCGTTGAGGCGTCAGAGGACAGGGTTTCTCGACCTCGAGTTTCAACGCCCGATTCGGATGGCTACTCCGCAGATGATCCGATACCGATTGGGAGGAAAATTCGTACAGCCTCATCCAGCCCCGGAAGTGGATTGAGCCACTTGACGAGTCTATATTAGTTCGATTACAGATGAACGAATGAATCTGTGGTTGACTCGAAGAAATCGGAGGGAATCTAAATACCTCCGTACGGTGGGGACAATGACCTCTGCCAGCCTGCATATCTGAATCTAGCCATCGAATCCCTTTCGGAGGTTTCGTCGCGGGCTCGCGTGGATATATTTTTCCGCTCCGCTCCTGATTCCAAACGACTTGTGGGCACAACGCGGACAAAGTTGCTTCAATCTCCATAGAAATATTGACTATCTGTCCGCCGAACGGGGTCCGAACCGCTGTCCACCGTCGAGATACTACATATAATAATTCTACCCCGACCGTTGACTCCGACGAGCGGTCCACACATGAGGCCGTTCTTGCTGCTTTCTTCACCGAACGCAGCGTCCGTTGCTCGGAAGAATCATGTAGTTCATCTGAAGGGCCAGATGCGGGATGGATCAACATTGAAGTGATTTCTCGACGAGCACCATTACAATAAATTCTCCGTACAGCGAAGTTTCTTTTTCGTTTTTTGGGCTGGTTCACCGTGGAGAAAATGATAGAAAACATCCAATGAAGCGATCATTTATTAAAACAGGAAGGTTCCTGATCGCGCGAGGTTCGTTGTGATAATCTTCTACTGTGCTCTACGCTTCAGTAGGCCTCAGCCGATGTGTACATGCTTCTCGCGGTAGTGCCAGCAGAACGGGTAGCAGAGCGCCACCGCAAGAGTGTGACGAGCGCTGAGTGGAGCCGCATTACTCTAGCTATGAGCAGGCCTGCTGAGGTAGGGGACCTCAGTTAAGCTATTAGAGTCGCCGAAGATACGATGCAGACACTAGGACTTTTTTGCAGCTTAGTCTGTTAGGGAGGGATAAGACGTCTACAGAGAGAGTTTCTATCTTCAGCATGGGTAACTCAAGGCTGCGGTATCGTGCGTTTCCGATTGATCCTGCCGCCTTGCGTTACGGGACGTTCAGGCGCGTAGGCGCAGCCGACGAAGAGTGCGGGAAGGATCTTGGCTTTCAAAAAGACCCGGATTGTCCCGGAGCGGGGAGGGACGCCAGAAGTTATTATTATATCATGAGCCAGCCCAGACCGCTTTTTTTTATCAGCAGGAGCCGCCTCTTCCATCTGGATTCCCCTCATAATTCCCGTTTTCTCTCAACATCGATCGGTCTCTCCTCACCGAAGAGAACGCGGCGTAGAAAACTGTAGTCTCGGGAGGGGACGTTCCACTCCGTATAGATTGTCGGCGACAGATTATTTTGGCGCTATTCGCTATCGAAGGGCTTTCCTTTTACATCCGGGGAGCGGGGAGACTACATGTCGTGTTTTGAGCTCCCTCACGTATACGGACCAGTCATACGACGATTCAAATTCCGTTCGTGATCATAAGATGTCCAATTCAGTCTTCGCCGTGGAATCGATTCCTGAAGAATTCTTCCGGTGTTCAGCAAGAATCCCGAATGTCGACTCTTCCGTATGAAAATGTTTTGTCATGAGCAATCAATCACGATCCAGCAAGCCTTTTCAGCTCTACCCATCTCTATTCCTTCAAGCAGTATGCTCGACCCGACCGCAATGATTCAGCGATGAGGAAAGGCGCCGCCTGGCCTTTTGTGTCCCTCGCAGTCGAGGCAAGCGCTTTAGACTAACCCGAGTTTACACCACTCGAATCCAATTTCCCGGGACGCTTCGATCCATGCGGCAAATGCCCGATGATCGGTCGGCCCTCCGGCGAGAAAACGAGCGATGGAGCTTCGTTTGTCTCTTGCTACATGCTTCACGGGTAGGTTCTTGGAGTGGGACACGCAGAAGGACGCGGCGGTGTATTCGATCTCTTTCGATCAGAATGGGCTTGTCGGCTACGCAGCGACACGACTATTCACTCGAAAAGAGATATTTCCCCTGTCAAGCAAAATGGACAGCTTCCGAAGGAAAACATGTTATCCGCCGCGTCACATGAAATGCTTATGGCGAACTCAGTAAGGAGATTATATCCTGACCGACATGCGCCATCGGATGATCGAGTCTCCGAGCTCGCTAAGCTGCTCGCGAAAATCGAGTGGGTGGCAACCGAGAAACAGGGATACATATAATCCAGGGGCATGCAGATCCTGTGCGCACGATGAACGCTACCATGAACGAATCGGGGAGAGAGGAGACGACCGAGGAGTATCAGACGTGTGCATCGCGTTCCACATTCATATCAAAGCGAACCGATCCACGCTTTCGAATTATTCGATGAGATGAGGTATTTTTCTTTAAATCGGGAGGGAACGTTTTCGGATAGCTGGGAATCCCAGGTGGATCCTTCGCTAGTCGGTCCCTAGCTCATTGATTGACCATGGAACAACGAATGTTCTCACGGAATCCTTATATTTCCGCGATGGAAGGTTGCGGCGTATACATATGTATCTCCGCTTCGCTAGTTGTCTACCTGTCAGCCTTGTTTATGAAGTCTTCGAATGAGAAGCTTCCCATGCCACCATTTCGCGAGCGGATGGAGGATACTAAAACGCTGCAGCCAGCCTCGGGGTTCCATGAATTGACGGCGGGAATACTGTACAGTATTCTCGTAGGCTCGAGAGATTCTCTAGGACACACCTATGAACATATCTCCGCGCAGAGGGATTGTGAGGAGCCGCGCACGGGAAGCCTGAGCCCAGCCTCCTGGAGGGGACCCAGACTGTCTTTCACAGGGTGGATTGCGGTACTCCGTGGTGGATCCAAGCCTCCATGTTGAGTAACAAAACGGAGTGATCACATCGGATGGGCTTTCGATGTCCCCTAGTCAGTCGAAGATCTTGGCTTTAATCAAGGCGGTAGGGAATCGAGAAAGCCTTTTTATTTTTCAGATGCTACATTTCTACGATTCTTGGTAGTAATCGGTTAGTCTGCCCTCGAACCTCGAATCATACTGCGTTAGGATCTTGCAACTCCGATGGGATCCAGCTTCATGTCTCGAGTCTCACGCGATTCACCAAGGAGCCCAGGAGTCCTTCGCGCAGCTTTTGATTCTATTCCGATCAATCTGAGTGTGATTCCGATGATACTTGGTACCGATCAAGACGAAACTACCCGCCAGATGCCTTCCTTGGACAGACCACGGGTTTTGAGGGCTTCCGTCTCGGACTAAAGCAACAGAGCCTGCAGGGGATATCGTCGGGGGTTGATTCTGACGAAAGATCAATCCCTAACTCCCATAGAGGCGGTCCGACGATTCTACCGAATGATCTTCGAGACTTCCTCGAGCCGTCTCCTGCCAGCTCCACTTGGAGAGCATCAGCGACTGCAGCTAAATCGAATCCATCGACGAAATACGCCCCGAACTCTCTGGTGATCTGGTGGTCTGATGCTCGTCAGATACTGCTCCGAGGTATTGCTTATCTAGCTGCTCGCATGTGTGCTAGTCGAGCCTGACTAAGACGGGACTTCGCAAAATGAAAGGCAAGATATTTATGCATCATGGCGCAATCGGTGAGACCCGAAAGTATCCGTGGACGGGAATGATCTGATACGAGTCAACACGCTGACTCAGGTGATTGCCGGATCAGTGGGGCACGTTCGCTTCGCATCCAAACTTCCGGTATCTAGCTCGCGAACGATAGAAGCAGAATCCTCTCTGTGAATCGAGGCTCTACACTACATGTCCCACTACGGTAGAAGGGACGCGAATGATCTGTGCGAGTGTTCATCACATCCTTCGTTGCTTCTTGGGCCCAGTGGTTTTATCCCTCCCAGAGCTCGAATCCCGAAATTCACGGCATTCCGTGACCGCGAGGACTTATCCATGTAGCGCTCGACTGTGACCAGCTGGTCCTGAGCTCCGAAGCGATCTGATCAGAGCTCACAGCAGTCTTTGGCCCCTGGCTCGCGGGTAGCAAGGCCATCGAAGACTGTCCGGAACCGATGCCAGCTAGCCGAGACTCATGATGTTCTAGCCCACGAATGTTTCCGATGTCGTCGAGAGGGAGAGAGGGAAAGGCAAATAGAAGCATCCTCTGCCCCCGCCCGCCCTTCCTCTCGAACAACATGCACATTCCATTATTCATCATAGGCATTTTATTTTTGATCATGGGCTCGAAACAAGCGGTCAGACTGATGGTGAGAGTTCTTTATCTCTCATCCACAAGGGAGTCCTATATCAAGAAGAGGTAATATTCTCACAAACAAGGAATTATTGCCTCCGAAAAGCCCAGAAAAGGCGGCGGACGATCAGGGGAGACGAGGAACTCAAAATTCCGATGAGCGTCTACCTGAGTCGTCTGTTCATAGTTCCGTGTTGCTCGGGAAGGAACGAGGAGACGATGTCTGTGATGTACGAAGACGATGTTTGTGATGTCTGTGAGGAATTTTCTTCGCCGAACAGAGAGCTAACTGTGATGAGCTTCCGCTGTCGACAGAGTCCTCGGCGAGCTCAATCACTGGCGACTTGTCGATCTAAAGAGCCCTAGAGGGACTGTCAGTTCGGAGGAGCCTATCTAGGCTCGAAGCTGACCTTGGGGTGAACAAATAGCGGGATTACCTTGTACAATTAGTGATACTATGGGAGACGACGATTTCTCGAAATCCATCTCGCCTCGCTCACTGTGCCTCTCCGTGAGGAGCGCTCTGGCCATTCCTTACCGGATCGGGTAATCGCTCACTCTCTGCAGGGTAACTTTGAAGTTTTGTGTCTGTCGTGCTTGCAATGGCGCTCGTGGAGATGCTCCTTGCCAGGATTTGCGAGCCAATTGCTTGGGTGGCTCTCGTCCTCGGTATTCTGACTACATACGTTATTCGTTTCTACAATCGAGTGAGGAAACTCCCTCCGGGTCCGATTCCGCTTCCATTCCTCGGGAATCTACTTCGTGAGTTGATTTGAGCGAAGGTTCATCCGCGAAGTGGACGGGTGTCTCCTCATGTCATCTGCGTTTCGTTCCGACAGAGTTGCGAGCGCCCAGGCCACTCTACGAGAAAGCGATAACTTGGAGTGAAAAATATGGGGATCCATTCACCATCTGGTTCGGAAATCGCCCGTTCGTCGTCGCTAATACGAAAGAATCCTTCATGGAGATGTCCGGACCCCTCAGGAATCTCACAGCGGATCGGCCACAGATGAAATTGAATGAGCTTCAGATGAGAGGACACGAAGTAAGTTTGGCGAAACCCTGCTCCTGACTTTCGCTGGGGGAAACAGCGAGCTCTTGAAACTAGACTACCGAACTCGAGGAGAGCGAGCGCCAAGTACGAGGCTCGCGGGCTCGCGTAAATCGAATTCTCCAATCGAATGATAATATCGCTGCAAGAGCGCTGGAAATCACGAATGAGATGTCTTTTTGATTCCATCTCCGCTCAAGGATGTGATCGCGAGCAACTTCACATCAGGATGGGACGTTCTCCGCCGCCTGAGTCATGTCGCTATGAGGAAATACGCTCAAACTGAAAAGTTGGCCAACCTGGTGGCGAAAATAGTCGACCAGGAAATCGAAGACGTATTGGAGAGCGCGGAATCGAAACGTTTCGGCATAGTCGAGTACTTGGAAAACGTCCTCGCAAGCGTTTTGGCCATTTCCGTCGCCGGAGAAAGGTACGTGGATCGATATCTGACGGCAGCATCGACTCTCGATCCAGGAACTTCACCTGTCAAGAATAGACGATGCGGGGTTTCCGTGTTTCTCGCCAAAGTTTTTGGGCGGGTGAATTGCTTACATACCGCTTCGAGGGACGGAGGGGGAAATTTCCGGCGGTTCTTGAAAGTTCAGAGCCGAGACTTGCAAACTAAAGGAACTTTCGTTCGTGGACCAGCCGACATTTTTTTGAGGAGTGATTTTGACGTGAATCGATAATTGAATCGTTTATTTTCGAAACATCGAAACTCCACTCTGGAAAAACACCCAAAAACAATCTTCCCCCTGTAATTTATCCCACAGGATACCTATCCTGGCTTGTGGGGCCATTTTCGAAAGCTCTCGGTGAGAGCTTTCAGAAAAAAAATATAACACCGCCCTCCCTCTCCTTCTGTGGCTACACGCGGAGAAATGAGTCTTTGGAGTTACGATGTTTTGAAAATAAACTTTTTTTCAAAACTCAGGAATCTTTATCTCGCCGTAAAAACGTCCAGGATCATAGTAGGAGGCTGTTTTTCTTTTCAAAATGTAGCCCAGGTCCTCAGCTTTTCAACGAGGCGCCGCACGACCCTATAGCTTCATTCAATCAAAAGTCACGGGCGTTTTAAGAATGGACCACCCCCCATAGACTTAACATTGACACGGAATTTTCCAGAACGGGTTTTTCCCTTCCCTCAAAAACATTGTAGAAACGTCCAGAATCATCGTAGGAGGCTGTTTTTTTTCCCCAAAATGAAGCCCAGGTCCTCAGCTTTCCAACGAGGTGCCGCACGACCCTATAGCTCCATTCAATCAAAAGTTACGGGCACTTCAAGAATGGACCACTCCCCATAGACTTAACATTGACACGGAATTTTCCAGGACGGGTTTTTCCCTTCCCTCAAAAACATTGTAGATGTTGTGATCTTAGTCGTTCATACAACTGTAATCATATCCAGGAACTAAATTACTATCAATAAATCGAACCATCCGTCGCGCCACGGTAGATGCCAACCAGTTGTGGTGGTATCCGGCAGCGCGTACGTGAGAAGGCAGTTCTGCCCGCGACTCGCAGCTACAAGCATCGTGTCCTTATTGTAGATTTAACAAAAATCTAACAGTAGAAACGTCCAGAATCATTGTAGGAGGCTGTTTTTTTCCTCTAAATGAAGCCCAGGTCCTCAGCTTTCCAACGAAGCGCCGCACGACCCTATAGCTCAATTCAGTCAAAAGTTACGGGCGTTTTAAGAATGGACCAATCCCCATAGACTTAACATTGACCTCCGATCTGCAAAATGACTTCTCTCCCATCATGCTGTAGGAGAATATACTGAAGATGAGAACGGATTGAATGAGAGAAAGAACGCACCAATCAATGAGGAAAACTGAAGTTTATTCATTTAGCCCTCGGAATCATACTCCGAATCATCACCCAAGTCCAGATCGGCTCTGGATGCGAGTTCATCGTAGAACTCCTGGTATGGCTGAATGTCCGCAAGTTTTTGTTTTTTGATGGACACCCCTCTCTGTCCATATAAAGATGTCGTAGGGAGTGCCGGGGGCACAGCCGTCTTGGCCAGCAGGAATGTGATCCCCGAGCATCAAGCATCTCCGCTGTGAAAGTCGGTCGGGTGTCCATGCCTTTCGGTTCCCCCAATGCGCGCCTCGCGATGGCTTTTCAAATCACCCGCCATTCGAGAAAAAATCATTGGCGTTTGAATCAATGTTAAGTCTATGGGGATTGGTCCATTCTTAAAACGCCCGTAACTTTTGATTGAATGGAGCTATAGGGTCGTGCGGCGCCTCGTTGGAAAGCTGAGGACCTGGGCTACATTTTAAAAAGAAAGACAGCCTCCTACGATGACTCAGGATGTTTCTACAATGTTTTTGAGGGAAGGGAAAAACCCGTTCTGGAAAATTCCGTGTCAATGTTAAGTCAATGGGGAATGGTCCATTCTTAAAACGCCCGTAACTTTTGATTGAATGGAGCTATAGGGTCGTGCGGCGCCTCGTTGGAAAGCTGAGGACCTGGGCTACATTTTGAAAGAAAAAACAGCCTCCTACAATGATCCTGGACGTTTTTACGGCGAGATAAAGATTCCTGAGTTTTGAAAAAAAGTGTATTTTCAAAACATCGTAACTCCAAAGACTCATTTCTCCGCGTGTAGCCACAGAAGGAGAGGGAGGGCGGTGGTATATTTTTTTTCTGAAAGCTCTCACCAAGAGCTTTCGAAAATGGCCCCACAAGCCAGGATCGGTATCCTGTGGGATAAACTACAGGGGGAAGATTGTTTTTGGGTGTTTTTCCAGAGTGGAGTTACGATGTTTCGAAAATAAACGATTCAATTGACGTTCATCATGTGCCGCCATTGCAGCTTCGAGAGAGGTGGTGAGGAATTCAAGCTCTTCCAGAGAGCTGCGAAGATCTTCGAGAATGAGGCATCAAACGGTCTTCCTTCTGATATACATCCTTTATTGGGATACATCCATTTTAGACGGGAGAATGCGGTCCGGAAGGCCATCGCTGACATCGTCAGCGTGACCGATCGGATGTACTTGCAGGGTAAAAACTCATGGACTAAAGGTGAGCGTCAAAAGCAGCCAACATCGGCGTTCGACTAGGAGTCAGCCTGCTCTGAAGAGCAGCGATATGTCGTCCACAGGTCAGAATCGGCATTTCGTCGACTTCCTCCTCAATGCCAGGGAGGAGCTCATCGCCGAGGAAAAAGGATCCGCGAAGTATCTCCACGATGACAATCTCAAGAACGTGGTATTGGACATCTTCGGAGCGGGAACCAGCACCAGCAAAACGATCTTGGGCTTCAGTTTCCTACATCTAGCGAACGATCTCGAGCTCCAAGATGAACTCCGCGAAGAAATCGTCGACGCTTTGGGCAGCAGAGTGTGTGGAGCAGCAGATCGAGGGAAAATGCCGAAAGTGGACTCGTTTTTGCGAGAAGTCATTCGTGTGCACCCTCCGGCCCCATTGGGAATCGGGAGGAGGACTCAGGCCGATATAATTCTAAGTACGTTCCTACGTACGGTCCCGCGATTACGCTGTTTCCCAGTCTACCCAATCCATAGTGCTCGATGTATCAGTGGCTTGCACGGCTGTTCTTTCCAGATCGACGCCCCGTTCCCATAGGTACCGACATGTTCATGAACATTCTCGCAGTCAACCATGACAAAGCCATCTGGGGTCCGGATGCGGGCGAATTCAACCCACGCAGATTTCTGACGGCGACGAAGGAGCAAGTCAATCGGGGAGCCACTTCTTTCGGGCTGGGAGCCCGAACCTGCCCAGGAGAGAAAATGGCACAGGCTGACATGTTGTACGCGATTGTCCGAACACTCCAGAATGTCAGACTAACGTGCCCTGATGGACCCGGCACTGCTAACTTGAACAGCATTGATTCTGATCTCCTGATCGATGCTGTGAGACAAGACCTCATTTTCACCAGAATTGATGTTTGATTGTACGGATGCCAATCTCCATACCGGACGAGGTGTCGGAGGGAATCGCCGTCAAATAAAACTCCTATCGAAACTCCGCTAGTGGCTGTTTGGACGAGCATATTTCCTGTGAGACAGCGCTCATGTGCTGATCCAAATTATTATATACATCATGAAGGGGTTGATAGAGCGCAGCGTCGCCTGAGCACGACCGTGCTTGGCGTCCCGCTCGCGAACGATACATTGTAAAATTATAAGCACGATTGTACCCCGCCTGGTTCGTGCTGGGCTGAAAATTGCACCCTGTCATATTCAGCATAAGATCTTCTGCGGTGACGTCAGACATGGACTCGCGATCCATGGGGAGGATGACATACGAGGAGAGGTGGATTCGTGCTGCGGCACGGTGTGAACACTCTCGAGAGCGCTCCAACGACTCATGTTCGATTGATATTCGAATCTGATGTTTCGATTCACGCCAACAAGAATATCTGCTTCCGAGGATCGGAGGAGGAAAATTGGTGGGCCGAACGAGAATTCGGAGCTCCACTGTCCACTATCCTCGCCAAGATCGGTTTGAAAGAGGGAACTAACCGTCCTGGGGACACATAACTAGCGGCTGGGGACACATTCTGCTCTCAGAACATGACGCGTCTTACAGGTAGTACCGCTTGCTCTATCGAGACTTTTGAAGAGAGACGCGGCGGGACAAAAATCATCCGCGTGCTTCTGCTTTCTATCGAGTCTTGGGGGAATGCGGAGTACCTTGAAGAAGTACATATTCCAGTCAAGGAGACTTTCGCCAGAATTGTGTTCGCTTTCAATAATTGCAGTTCTCCCCGTGACGACTCGATCTGGACATTATATATATATATATCTCGATTGTAGTCGCATTGAGAGTTTTATGGAGGTATCGACTTTGTCGGCAGCACAGATTCTCTTGGATGGAGACCAAGGGTGCCTCCCTGTAGGTCCTCGAGGGCGTCATCGCTGCAAAGAGTTGAATGTTATTAAACGGTTTCCCGGAAGATATGACAATCCGCAATCTATCGGGAGAAATCGGTCTCTGAAGATAGACCTCTCAATAGGAACCATGGATTTTCTGGGCTCACCCTCACCCGAATCGTCGTTACTGCGATGGAGCGGCCCTATTGCTAGCTGTTGATGGCTGTCATTCCGGCTGCACAATGGCGCTGGTCGAGTTGTTTCTCGTAAGACTGACCGAGCCGATTTCATGGATCGCCTTGGTCCTCGGCCTACTGACGGCCTATTTGATTCAGTTCGTGAATCGGGTCCGTAAACTTCCGCCAGGTCCATCGCCGCTACCTTTCATCGGGAACATTCCCCGTAAGTTCCTTGATGCGCATTTCACGAAGTGTAATAACTTCATGCGGGCGTCCTCTGATACTTCTCCCTTCTCGTGAAGAGCTCCGGTCGGAAATTCCTCTGTATGAGAAAGCCATCGATTGGGCTCGACAGTATGGAGACCCAATAACCGTGTGGATAGGGCCTCGTCCGTTCGTGATAGCGTCATCGAAAGAATCTTTCAAGGACATCTCGGGCCCATTGCGTAATCTGATTGCCGGCCGGAATCCCACAAACATTGGCGCGCTCCAAACTCGTGGATACCAGGTCTGATGGAAATCCGCGCGTAATATACTTTCTCGGTCCCGGCTCGATATCTAAAGCGTTGCGCATCGCCTCCAGGATGTTCTGTTCAGCGATTTTTCGCCAGCATGGGATACTCTGCGAAGAGTCGCTCACGTTGCGATGCGTAAATACGCTACCACCGAAAAACTGGCTAATTTGGTGGCCGAAACCGTGGACTCGGAGCTCGAAGGAGTTTTCGAAGGGAGAGATGAATGCCGGTATGAAGTCGTCGAGTTTATCGAGGGAATAATCAACAACGTTCTGGCCTTGTCGAGCTTCGGAGAAGGGTGAGTGAACGCCAATCAGACTCTCGACAGCAGACCTGAGAGCGGCCACTCGCCAGAGGAGCGCGAATTGGACAAGACGCAACCGAGAGAAGATCAGCTTGAAGCCTCTATGGGCAATAACGACAAGTGACTCACAATCAGTGATGCGATAAGACAAAGGGGAAGCTGAGTATTGGGAGATGCACTTCGACGATCCCTCGGAGTCAATTTCTTTGAGCATGCTTTACCTATGGTCTCTTCCCCGAATTTCTTCCAGATTCAAGAAGGGAGACGAGAACTTCGAAAAAATGAGACGAGCCAATCGAGACTTCGAAGTAAACTCTCCGAATGGACTGCCGTCGGACATTTTGCCCATTCTGCGCTATTTGTTCCCAAGGCAGGAACGAGCCGCTCGAGGAGCTATCCTGGAAGTTCTCGACGTCACGGACGAAATGTTTGCTAAAGCGAGGGCAACATGGACGTCCGGTGAGCTTTGGCGGCCTCGATCCAGATCAACAGCGATGCTCGGAAATTGATCTATCGCTAAATTCCCCAACTCCTCAGGGAAGAGTCGTCATTTCACAGACGTTCTACTGAACGCTCGTGAGGAATTCGTCGCCGAGGATCGAAACTCCGCGAAGTATCTGACCGACGAGAACCTCAGACAGGTCGTCCTGGATATCTTCGGCGCAGGAACCGGGACGAGCCGCGGTATCTTGAGCTACTGCTGCGTAGAACTTGCGAACGATCCCGAGCTCCAAAGTGACTTGCGCACAGAAATTCTCGAAGAGCTCGGTTCGAAACGCTGCACGGCAGAGGATCGCGAACGGTTGCCGAGGACTGATTCCTTCCTGCAAGAAATAATACGATACTACCCGGCTGCTCCGCTGTCTCTCCCTCGGAAGGCCATGACCAACACGACTATAAGTGAGTTGCGACGCGGCATTCTACAGGGTGTCCCGTAGTTCTCTTCTAATTCTCTTCGTTGAATTCCCTTCAGACGGTCGTCCCGTACCGAAAGACATCGATGTCATGATCAACCTGTATGCCGTGAATCGAGACGAGAGCATATGGGGAAGCGATGCGGGAGAATTCAGGCCATACAGGTTCCTAAATGTGACGAAGGATCAGCTAACCCGCGGCTCCAACTCGTTCGGAATCGGAGCACGGTCTTGCCCCGGGGAAAAGTTAGCGCAAGCGGACATGTTCTACGCGATCGTAAGAACTCTCCAGAGAGTTAAACTCACCTGCGTCCATGGACCGGGAACAGCTGATTTCGGAAAGAAGAATTCCGACATATTCCTGGAATCTCCTCGGCAGAACTTGATCTTCGCGAAAGTTGATACCGTCTGAATGCGCAAACATTCTCCGTGCTAGAGCCAGTGTAAGATATACAATACTTAATTGAAGGATATCTTCTCAACTGAGCTATCTTTCTATCTCCTTCATTGAGCTGAACAATTTCTCCATCGGACCATCATCGTCTCCCCTCGATCTTAATCTCTTCTGATGAATGAATCATCGAGCCCCGAGAAGGTCCGGTCGCTGCCTGGCGAGCGGATAATCAAGAATGCCGGCCGATCCCCATGTCATCTTTGCGGTTCCCAATAAAATATGAGAATTTGATCATCACTCACAAGTTCACTCCGGACCCCTCTGCATGGAAGCTTCTTGCCGCCAATCGAGGCAAATCGCATAAGCGACGTAAGCCTCTAGTTCTTTGCCGCTCCTGAATATTTCCGGCGAGAGGGTTCGAAAGAGATCGCGGCGAAGTTCACGCCTTCGGGTGAAACTCCTTTCCGTTGTTATGAATCGACGGATTCTAGCGTTTCGATTCGCGAGAAAGTTCAGGATCAATCGTTCCTCAGCGATGTTCGCTGCCGATCACCCCGGAGGACCTAAAAGGGGACACGGACCCGAATTCAGGATAGCCCGGTCTGGAGGAAGGCGATCTGAGCGTTCCGAACGTATTAAGGAGACCAGAGGGCCGTCGCTCGGGAACCGTATGCGAAATTCGGTCATGTGTTCCCTTCGGATTGATGGTCGCTGCTTCAAGCTCCTCTGCGAGGAGACTTCTAGTCTCAAGAGCGCTGCAAACGGTCCTTCTCCTCGGAAGTTGAGGTTGGGTAAACGGGAATCTTCAAACCGAATAACGCTGGAAGTGCACCTCAAGCTGTCCACTGGATACGAGGGAGTCATCATCTGAATTTACTCCTATTGTTCGTTTCCCGTAGCCCCACAATCAAAGAATCCGCCCCGTCGGCGTCGCTGCATGAGTCTAGGTGCTAGCTCACAGCATTTTCGAAGATTTTCCTCCTCCGACATGTATCTCGATGCTGCTCGCAGAATATCGATCGCAACGACACAAGATTTTCAAGCGAGACCGTGACTCCCTATCGCCTCTTCCTGCCAAGCAGATAGCTATTTACGTCGATATCGGAACGAGGGAATGAAGGAGCCATGCGACGATCCAAGAATCCTCCTGGACCAGAGTCTGATTTGGAAGAAACACATTCCTGTTCAGCTACCCTGACTTAATTCTCTCGCTTCTAAATGCCATTTGAGGAGCGGTCGGAGATTCGCTTCCGCTCGTGAATGTCCGCGCCCAATGCGAGCTCTGGAATCCGGTGCGCAGAGAGTGAGCTGTTCTTCCGAGAGCCGAGAATCCCATCACAACTCCGGTCTGAGCATCATGGGGCAATTCCTATCAATCGGAGCCATTCGTATGGATATCAGAATTGAAGATCAAACGACCCCCCTCAGCCCCCTCGTTCCGCCGCTTTCCCACCAGCCCCTCGACGCCAGGTCGAGGATGAAGGGACCCCATAGGCTCGTTCGGATCGAGAGAACCCATCACGGAGATCTCCTCAATTCACGCGATTCGCATTCCTCTGCCTCGACAAATATGGGTGTGGGCAAGTTTTTTTTTAGCATCGAATGTATTCTGTTAGACAAGGATCGTGTCAGCCTTTCACGGGTCGAGGAATCGAATCCTACTCGATTGTCCGTGAGCTAGCGTCTTCTCAACGACGAGGATACGACGACGCCGTGCAATTCATAGCGCCTACGTAGCTTCTCTCTCCTACATCGACCCAAGGTCTTGTCCTACGGTTTGTCCGTGTTGTTCAGAGAACCTCCATTCCACTCGAGCCGGCTGCGGCGTTTCTCGCCGGCTTCGCAAGAGTGCCACCTGGAGTTCTACAGTGGGCGACATCCTGAGGGAGTCGAAAGGTTTTCATCGTTGATCGTGCATCAAATGTGAGAATTTTCGATTTATTTCTCGATTGCCGCCTCCCTGGCTTCCTCGGCCCTAGATTCGCGTTTTTGAGGTCTTTTCTCTTTCATCTGATCACAGATATCCCCTGGTGATTGCATATTCTGAGTAGCATGAAGACCTCGCAACCCCATGAGGTCCTGAATCATGCGCTTATCGAATCTCTTTCCGATCGAGTATGCCTTCTGACATTTGGGGGAGGAATCTATCGTTTCGGGATCACGTGCTTGCGACGACAAGAATAGAGATCGAGAATGAATAAAGTCTCTGAACGGACGCGGGCGCAAGGACGAATGCGATCGCCGGTAGCGAAACTCCGATGACGCGTTTCCACCACAGTCATCTCGCATTGCCGGCAATCTGCTCGCTCATTATTCGACACCGATCCCGCTTTTGGCGGTACTTGGCACCGCCTGAATATTACGGTCCAAGCCCCAGCGATTTCTCGAAATTCCTTCACGGAGCGTTCCCCTTCCCCTATGATCCCCACCAAATGGAATGGGGGAGATGGAATGATGAGGCCCGGAGATAGTATGGAGGCCAGCACCCTCCGTTCTATCGCCCACGCTTGGAATGAACTTATCGGCAATGATTTTCTTCCCAAGCTTGATGCAGAAGAAGCTTGTAAGCTCACCAGCTTCGATATAAGTGATCTCGTATCCCGTCCATCGTTAATGCAGACGCTGTCGAGTGGAGAACTCCGTATGCTCGCGTCGGAGTTCATTATTCGAGCGTCGTGCTCGGGCGAGCGCATATCGAGGAGATCCGAGTTAGCCTAAATAATTTCGCCGTCGCGTACTGCGGTCGATCCCAAGCCTCTTCGGCTGATTGACCACGGGCGAGAGTCGATGAGAGCGTGCCGCTACTTTCTTTTGTTCCGTGATGGGAAGCACTTTCTCTGTTCGAGTGATTATTATTATTGCTTGAGGTAAACTCACCCAATCGGAGAGAGTCCTGTGGGGATGAAGTGGATCGAGGAGAGCCTTAGTCCCTAATTGAATTGGCTTGGAGCTTGTATACGGATTCTCCGACTGACAGTTCCCCCCGGTTCCCTCAAGTAGGCTTTTCACATCATCGCAACCGGAGCGCGCCTCGATCCGTCGAGAGGAGTGCGATCTTGCTGGCTCCTTCCAACAATAATTGACGGAGAAATTGACGATATTATAGAAGAAAAGACGATTCGCGTCGGACTTGGAGGTTGAATCGACATGGAGTCCGCCATTTATTGAAAAGTTCCGCAATGGGCTGCGGGCCATCTTGTGCAAAAACTTCTGTGGTAATCGTTACACCATCTGAAAAAGACACGACTTCGGCGGCTGGAGCGGACAACGAGGGGTGAGCATAATCTTTCTGACGAATCTCGTTCACACAATTGAGCTCCGGATGGGATCTTTTCCGCGACTCACCGTTTTTGGCACCAGATGCGTGGGAGTCGCACTCTTTCCTCCCATCACGGAGGACACGTTTCCGCGGATTCTTCATTCGCTCTCCATCTCGGACGACGGGTCTTGCCTGGCAATCTTTGCGATTTGAGCAATTCTTACAACTATGCTCTCGCGACTCCTATTCGACTCCGCTCAAAGCCGTGCGAAATTCACTTGACTTGCGCGTCCATCTCGTCTCTTTCCGGACCTTAGCTCTCCCGAGGGGCTCATGCATGAAAGTCAAGGGAAACTCTTAAAATATGAAAGTTTCTGATCGTGAATTCTAGAGACCCGTTCGGATCACTCAAGGACACCTCGCCCGTGCACAAAGGACTTCGGAGCTCCTTGAAGAGTGGGAGGCGGATCAGTTCCGGATTGTTGACTCCTGAGAAGAGGAAGCTCGTGACCGAATTCAAGGAAATGCATCTCCATTGGAAGAATACTCAACTCATAGGTGAGACTCTACGACCTCCTCACCCTGGCGGTTTCCCCATACACCGCCTATCGCCCCATCGAATGGGACCCTCGCTTTCAAAGGAGTATATATCCGCTACCTGTTGGTGATATGCGCGAATTAGCTGCGAAAGAGCGATTGACGACATCAGAATCGGAATTTACAGAGAGTCATGCAGCCGATGTCACTGGCTGTGATTTCGGCAACGACTGTTTGGCCACTTGTTCAGGCGACAAAACAGTACGGGTCTTCGAGCGGTACTCCGATGGACAGTTCATTGAGAAGGAGTGTTCCCCCCTAGTTGGCCATACTTACGCGCTGACCGCCGTGCGCTTCACAGCGTCCGGACACCTCCTCTGCTCGGCCTCGATCGATGGCACCTGTATGATGTGGAACGTGGAGGTTGGTTTCGAAGAGTTTCGCATCGCGGAACTCGATGGGAAGCAAGACCTGTCATTTGAGGAACGTTTCGGATATTCTGCTCGATTATTGAGTTGTTTTCTTCCCGGAAGACGGGTTCCCAACTAGCGACCTTGCGACATCCTTCATCCAACTCTATACGGTGCTGCGCATTCGCACCTTCCGAAACGTTGCTGGCCACAGGCGGCGACGACGAAACTCTCGTCATATGGGACGTTGCGACCCGGTCTGTGAGTCGCACCCTCGCGGGTCACGAAGCCACGGTGGGTCAAGCTCTTGCTTTCGCGGACGGGGTACGCAACCTCGAACGGTTCCAGGAAATCTGGTCGATGAGCGTACCAGACAAATTTCAGGTCACCTGCTGTGCTTTCACCCCGGACTCGAGTCTGATCATGTCGGGAACCTCGGAAGGATTACTGAAACTCTACGACGTTCGAGGAGGAAAATGTCTCTCGACGAAATTAGATGCTCACGATTTGGGTGTGCTCGCATGCGACTTCTCTCCCCAATACGAGTCTAATGGTGGGTTCATGTGAGACGAGAAACAAAAAATCGAATCGAGGCGCACCAGAACTGGTGAGCGCGACTGACCTCGATAAATCCTTCAGCTTCTGCTGGAGGGCCTTTCAGTATGTTCATGATGGCGTCCGGAGGAAATGATGACCAACTGCGGGTGTGGCGCATCGAAGCTGGACTCCATTGTCAGATTACGCTAATTTATAATCTTCAAGGTATGAAAAGCGGCTAGCTATGCATTCGTAGGTTGGCAAGGTCTTCTGACAGACCTATCAATTACGAGGCTCGCTTCCAGGGCACTCAAGCAATGTGATGGGCGTTCGATTCTCCCCGGACGGAGCGATGCTTGCCTCGAGGTCAGGATATCGAATGTTGTTTCTGGGATCCCCAAGAACCGATAAGGGGGGCTTATGATTGAAGAGAGAGCTCCGAGAGCGGACCGAAGTTTACATAATATGTATTCCCTCACGCGTTTTCAGTGCTGGCGACAAAGTGGCCATCGTGTGGGATGCGGTAGGTGGGAAGCTGACTTTCTTCCAAAGGCTGCACGGAACCTTAAAGTTGTCGTCTAAAATGCTTCGCATGCCTAAAAAATCTCCAAAACCTACTGGGTTGGGAGAGTTTGAGTAAAAATGTTCCCCCAAGTGTGTCGTGTGGGCTTTTCAGATCCGGATGTACGAGACGACCGCTCAACGGTGTCTCGCCCCTACGTACACGGAGTACTTTGGCAGTGGCGAGACTTTGACTCTGAAGAGGCGAAAGCATTTGGAATCTCAATACGAGCCTATTCTGCTAGATCAGGTACATCGAAGTCCTTCGGGTGCAGTCGTGTGTCAATTTGGAAGGACCTGAAGGTTCTAGCATCTCGGTCGAGAGTTCGAGATTCACTCCGGATAGCACATGGACCCACACGAGAGAGCATGTTTGGAACCCATCGATTTGGTCGTTCTGCATGAGGTTTCCCGGGGACTGCGTCTTGAAAATGAGCGCTTTCTCCACGCCGGGAGGGAAGTGTTTTCGTGAGCGGCTTCCACAACAATCGTATGCGACACTACCGTAATCTGCACCGGAGCACCTGCTTCATGCTGAATGTCGCGATCGAGATGGCTCCGGAAACTCGAATTCTCCCAGAGAAGCATGCGGACTCCCCTTTTATCGAATTTCAGTGTAATGGTGAACTTCTCCAGCGCTTAGAGGGTCACCAGAGCTATGTACCTTGTTGCGCGTTCGGCTTTGACGGCAAGGTGAGTGAGAACATTCGAAAAAATTAATTCCTCCGCGGAATAAATTGTGCCCGTTCTTCGATTATCTTTCAGGCGCTCGCTACGGGGTCAAACGACCGCACCATAATTGTCTGGGCTCTGGAAGACGACGGCAACGGGGAGCCTTTCTCTGTGGGTCCGGTGAGCATCGCAATCGAAGGCAGCCGAGCGAGGAAAAGAGTGGCTGACAAGGCAGATGCAATGGAGGTTCTAAATATCGATCTTTCCCTCAAAATAATCATTCTTGCCGGTGCTTAAATTGAACCCCGAATTCCAGAAAACAGCAGCAACGAATCTCCCCGTGGCTCACCGCATTGCTGTGGTGTCGCAATGGGACGTCAAAGACGTCGGCCTCTGGCTCACAAAGCTAGGTTTACCGAATCTGCAGAATGAGTTCCGCAAACACGCCATAGACGGCCAGGAGTTACTCCATTTGACTCACGAGACGCTGACCAACGTCCTGGGCGTGGGTAGGTGTCCATCGCGACCTAATGACACACGCGCCGAACTTGCAGCGATCGATTCCCGCGATCGAACGGAGCCCCGTTCTCTGAATGCTCCCTTCTCAAATGTCACATTTCATGCTCGTTGCTCGAAACATCACCGTAAATCAAAGTCGGAGCCGCATCGATTCCTTTACTCTGAAATACCACAATCATTCCTCAGTTTCTGACGATACATCGATCGGAAACCGAACACACAATCATAACTGAGAGCATAGTAAGCGGCTGCTCTCTCATTGCAGAAACCCTCGGGCATCGGCAAAAAATACTGCGGGAAGTTTCCCGGCTGAAGAACCCCCTGTGGAAGACGTTCGCGCCGGAGGACGAGGATAACGCGCTGATCAAGGTGAGAACAATTGATGCTCCAAGGGATATCAGATCATATTTCGTTCCGGCGATCCGTTGTTCAAAAACGAAGGCGATTCGGAGGCCGGCCACTCGCCCCACCATTATTGGGGGTGAATTGAAATCGTCAACTTTTTTCAGGAGTGTACTTGTCCGATAACGCATGAAGTGATGCAGGATCCAGTAGTCGCTGCAGGTGGGTTGGAGCTTTATTTCTTGAGATTAAATTTGAACTACGGATCTGATTCCCCCCAATAAGCTTGAAAGAAACTGTTGGCCCCGATTTTCAGATGGATACTCCTACGAGAGATCGGCCATAGCGCAATGGTTCGAAAGCGGTAAAGAATCAAGTCCGATGACTAACGAGCCTCTCGAGCACACCATGCTTATACCCAACAAAACTCTGTATCTTTTGCTCAAGAAACTTTCCAACTGAACAACTCCCCCCTGCGAAAACAAAAAAGAAAAAGTGATAGCATTCTTCCCGCAAATGAAGGAAGTTCGCTCGTCTGTCAGTCGCGTGAATAGCGAGAGCTGCTGACGAGCTTTCCAATTCAACAGTCGAGTTGGGAGGCGGGAGTTCTTCGCCATATCCCGGCTTTATCGTAAGAACATTCATGCTCATTCTCGAGCATGCTTCGTGGTTGAAATAAAATGTTCGCTTGCCTCATCTGTTCGTCTCGATATACCGGCATGCCGACGGAGAGCGTCGCTTAGAAGTTCAACCACAGGACTTGCATCCTATTGATCCTGATCCGAGAGAGTTTGCAGTCCTCTCCTACCGGAGATCACTGGTCTGCGTTGAGGAAATTCCAGTTTCGTAGGGTCGATTGTTCGGCAACTCTACTCGAGCTCGAAAATCGTACAATCATACTGGACGAAACGCGGATTTTGTGACGGTGTCCAGTCTCCAAGGCTAGATTCGATCCATCGTCCGGAGACGCGTATGCCGGAATTTTCCACCAGGAGTCCATACACATTTCAGCGACTCCGACGCCCAAAAGTTTTAGGCAGCTACGCGTCGAAACGGCTGCGAGTCCATCGGGATTATTACGAGCCTTCGGCCGCTGACGGAAGCCACGCATCGCTTCGTCCACCTTCAAGGGAGTCGTTTCTCGAGTCAACGCAAGAAAGATGTATCCCCAATCAACTTGACAAGGAGCCTCTCTATGCCCCATCCGTCGACCGCTCGTCGCGGATACCGAACACTTAGCGATGTTCGGGAAGCTCATGGACATCATCGGGAGATCGTAGCGCACAGCTAGCGATGTTCGGGGAGCTCATGGACATCATCGGGAGATCGTAGCGCACAGCGCACTGCCTTCTCGATAAGATCGGATCAGCTTCGGATCTCCTACCCTTTGGGCGCTTCGCGACGACTCTGGCGGCTCACTGAGCTTCTGACGGAACCCTTGCGATAACCCGATGAGGAGAGTGAATGCTGGATGATGGAGTAATCGAAGGTGCTTCGGTTGACCGTGCGCTGACTCATAACGCTAAAATCGAAGAATAGATGCAGGGGGGCTCTGCACTGGAGTTGCGAGGTTTTTCTATGGCGAATGCATCATCGTCCCGAGCTCATCGAAATCTGCTCTCGAGAACTCCTCGGAAACGCTCATCCTCATCGGCGCGAGAACATCTATCATCTGACATAGAGGGGAGCCACTGGGGCGTACATCATTTCCGCGTAGGTTTCATCCGAGGTACTTCCCGATCTTGGAAATCTTCCAATCTCTCCTCTGAAAGAGAAACCATCACGACAGGAACGATCAGCGTGTCACTCCCTCGGAGACGTTGAAACATGTTCATGAGAGACAATCCTGTCTGACCGCTCTTCACTTGGCACATCACCCTCTGGCTTATCTCAGATCAGGAAGACGTACCAAGATTCATAAACCTGAAGTCGTCACGCGGAGCGATGCCTGCATTCGAAAATGAAGGGGTGAGCTGAAATGTAGGTATGGTAAGCTGAGATGCCTAAGCCGTGGTGAGTGGAACGGCTGATCGAATACGGTGTTCCTCTGGGGAGCACCCAAGGACAGTGAATTTTTACGGTATGTGTCTATGATGTATTTTTTTGGACCCATCCTCATCGCACGGCCACTTTTGCTGACGATACATTCGTCATGGTCTGGAGCAAACACCGGAGTTAAAAGTTCGCATAGGCTCATCATCGTAAAGAAACTTCACTGAAAAAAATGTTTCGGCTACAGCGGTCCTGTTCTCAACGAAAAGGAGACGAAATCAATGCAGCTTTCCTCAGCCCCGAAACACTTGGAGCTGACGTTGGAATCCATCTGGAAACTCAGTGACGCGAGATCTTGTGCATGCCCACGCCTCGATGGACAGACATGGGTATCTCGGTCTCATCTCAATTCTTCTTTTGTACAACATGCTGGACTCGAAGAACTTCTCGAATGATCCGGGGGAAGAATACTAGGAACAATGATGAATAGTATTTTCGTGGAAGCCTTGGAATCCGTGAGCAGCTTCGGAGAGCAGAATCGGGACGATTTCCATAAATAGCGAAACGGAGGTAGAGAATTTCCGAACAACGGTGTCAAAGTCCCGTAGATATTGGTCGGATTACTCATCGAGTAATCCTGGGCGTCTCCGTCCTTCGAAAATCGACTTTGCGGGCTGAGATAAAGAGCTACCACAAGAGCTGAAACCCCGCCCAGAAGATGAACACAGCCGGATCCCGCGAAGTCGAGAGCTCCAAAGGCTTTCGAGAACCCATGATTGCCCTACAGCTTGAAATTTCATAGTTCAATTGTTACCCACCGATGCTGAGGAAGCTGAGCCTTGAGAACGGAGCGAGCCATCTTGCCGATCAACCAGGATCGTCGGATTGCAATCCCAAACAACAGAGACTGGGTTACACGAGCTCACTCAGCCCGCTAGAAATCAGAAAACTCTTATGGTATTCAGCAGCGAGAACACACAATGGGCGCTATATTTTTTTCTCTCGGCCTTTGCTCCCGGTACGATTGTCGTCGCTGCTATAGAGATTGGGAGCTGGAAGAATCGAGCCTGGCTACTGGAGCTCCGACGATCCGGATCCTTGTCTCTTTATTTCTTCGGCGAATGACGCAAGACTTGAATATCAATCTGGCAATTGATTCGCGAAAACGTGGACCCATGACTGAGTGAGATATCAGCGTCCACAGCGAAGAAGTCGCCACCAACTCGATCAGAAGTCAGAGCATCAGCTGCACGATAGAGGAGAAACTCCCGCCGATAGACAGGCCTCTGAGAAAACACACCCGGCAGCGATCACTGAATCCTCCTTGGAGTATTGGAGTCTGTAACCTAACAGCCAATACGTGACCCCGCCCAACACAATATCCGCTGCGTTTTTCATCAGAATGTTCACTTCGTTCTTCGGTGCGACCCGATTCTAGAAGACCGAAACCTGAACAGGACTGGGAGTCGTTGCCGTTGTCACGAAAAGTCTTGGCAACGGACGACGCAACGATAGAGGAGTTCGGAGAAACGAGACCGATGTGCAAGCAAGGGCAAAATCACGGAGGTCTGTCCGGATGTCTGCGAGTGCAGATACCGAGCCTACAACTTTGCATTGTGAAAAAGGCGATCGAAGCGGTCATGGGAAGCCATCTAGCATCGTCGCAAGAGGATGGCTCGTCGGGTTCCTCAAGATTCGTTGAATTATCCGAGATGATGCTCATCCCGTCGCGATCTTCAGGGATGTTTTCTGCGGAGGATGATTTTCCATCCAGAGGGAAGAGGATATCACTGGAATATCTCTCGATTCCCCTGGAATAACCTCGCTACGTATTTTAAACCATCGAGTGCTCATTCAGGCCTAATCTTACGCTTGATTTCGAGCCGAGAGCAACAACGATCCTTGCGACAGTGGGTTGATGAACTGTTCGAAGAAGTCTGACTGCCTGACTGGGCTTATTCTATCGGTTGGTTGCCTTCTGTGAATCCATTATTCACGACTTACTTTCGGTTGCTGAAGTTATCCATTGAGAATCCTCTTTCCGACGAGTTGTTCTTGAAGGACTCCCATCGAGTAGGCAAGGTCTCATCGGCTTGAATCTGTAACGAGTTGCCTCCACTCGGCTCAGTCATTAATTCCCCGCTGCGATAGAGGATCTCAGTCGACTCGAGTCTCCCGACAGATTCGCGAGCAGGAGAGAACTCGGGATCAGTCGTGCTCGGAAATCTCATGGATCATCCGTGGGAACCCATGGTGATTATCACCACGGAGCGCGGGGGCGACGGGAAAATCTTTCTCGTGGAATGAGAAACTCTCGCTGAGCTTCCCCATCGGATGTCACCGTTTCCATGGGATGATGAGATGAGAATCTCGACTTTCGAGCAAATTCTCCGTCGCGACGACATCGAAATGGAGAAAGGATGGGTAAAAGGAATGACGTCGAAAAATCAATATTGAGAGATTTGTTTATTTCAATCAGTACAATACTCATTTCCATTCTTTCCCTCAATCGACACTATGCCCGTAATTATGATTCGTAACGTAACAAGGACGGGCTACGGAGCCCGCTATCTATCTTCATCACGCGATGTCGCGGCGAATTGATTTGTCGATCTTTTCCTAGCCATACAGCTGCGAAGCCCCCTTTCGCCCGTCGAGGGGAGGACATGACGAAAAATGGGCTCCTAACTGAGTCTGCTCAAAGTGGGAAATCTTATTCAAATGGCTACAGATAAAGAACTCGGCGGGAGCTGTTGGAGGTTGCCGAAGTAATACATGGATATCATCACATGAGGCGTCTCGATAATCAGTAGGTAGTCGCAATGAGTTCCATCCCGTTTCCATCGCACGACGAGCGTTACAATGACGCAGGATGAACTCAACGGAAGACCCGAATCTTCTCCTAGGAGGACGACTGACGGGATCGGGTTCGAGCGTTTCCAAGTACTGTCTCGTTGGGTTGACTCGTGATTTATTCTTTCCCTCCCAGAAGGCGCGTTCCGAAATGTGCCGTTTATTCCAGCACGATACAAGGCTCATATGTTTTCGAAGTCACAGTCCGGATTCGACTCACAACCTTAAATAAATAACTTTTCAGACGAGTTTCTCTGGATGCTCCTTACTCTCCCTACCGATGACAAATCTGACTTTCTCCTCTTTCACTCGGTTCAGTGGTGCACCATCGAAAGAAGGAAACAATGAAAAAAACACGCTCTGATAACCTCGAACTAATGCGCTGACATGGCCTTCTGCAGGTGAGTCTCTGTTCGAAACATTTTTGCTTATCGCTTTCTATCTCGGAACTCGGTAAAGGAGCGATTGATTCGTCGACTACAACGATCGCGAACTGAAAATCGAATCTGAAAAATAGGAGATCTCGTGGGCCATGAGCGAAAAAGAGAGGAGTCATCTCGGGGGAAAGCACTTGAGCAGCTGTGCTGATACCGGACGATCTCATCAGATTTCGTGAACAATGATAAGAGTCTTGAATTTCAGTGATTCGTGAGTGAGAGTCTTGAGTGCACGGAAATGTGAAGAAGAGGTAGAGGGGTGCGCGGGACTCCGGTGGAGTGCAGCGGTCTCATCAGAGCGTCAGGGAGGTTCGATAGATCATCTCCTTCGAAGATTATTCGTTAGTTTCGTGGCCTCTCAGAGAGAAGTCGAAAAATACTCGTTCAAACCACTTCGTCGCCTTCAAATTGAATCGTTACCCTGAAGCTGGTGTGATAACCGCTCGGAATTTCCAAAAGCAATAGAGTGAAAGGTTTGGCGGTGTGTTAAGATTTAAGATTCGATTTCGCCAAAGGTGTCTCGTGATGATGGGGTAGATATCAATGAAGGAATCCCCACGTGGAGATAGGTACTTCTTAATATGTTTCGCGTGTGATGTGTGGTGCAGCTCGTTCACCAAAGTGCCGTGATCAGACGGGTGCTGGGTCGAAGAAAGAGTTCGTCAACATGGTATGTCACGTGTTCGATTTTAGGTCTCGGTGCAATCGCTTCGGTAGACTGGTTTGTGGTTTTCGGTCGGATGATTCCTCGGTAAGAGGGAGAGCTCATACATACATACGTACGCACGATACAATTCAAGGAAATGAAGCATGTCGATGCATGGATGCGTGATGGTAGCTTGGCGAATGCACGGAGGCTCAAGCCACGTTTTCATATAGGTAATAATTTGTTATCGCAGAAGTCGTTATTAAATGATGATCGGTGATGTCGGCGGTGGAGAAACGGGGGACGATCTTTTTCCCGAACCGATGCGGTGAAATGTTTCTCTCAAAGGTTTCTCCTTTGGCTCTTCCAAGTAGTCTTCTCTGGGTGGACCGCAGTCGTGGGTGGCGACCCAAACGGAGTAGGAGTTACTCTAGGTCTGAGATGCTTTTCCGATAAAAATATCCAGAACATACATTCAATGCTAGATGTCGAATGACTCAGTGATTTACAGTCATCAATAGAACCAAGGATCCAATTATTATTTGTTGCTCAATGGAGGGGCAGTGCCCGATCTCTGAGTTTCGGTATCCGTCATGGTAATCAGTTTCATTTTGTTTCTGCGGATATAATTTTTTTCAAAAGGGCATTCATCTGTGGCTGCTTGCGCATGCTTGCGTGCAACTCGCGAAGTGAATGCAGTGGTCGATATCATCGTGAAGTAAGCTCGGCGAAGTCCGATGAGCGTGATTCTGTGTAAACAACGCGGTGAATGGCACGAAGGAATGTCGACGGAAATCAGACCATATCATTAAAACACTCGTTGAAAAATCTCTTGCTCAATCCCATGATCGCGATTACCAATCCCTCGCGGTGGGGCCGGGTTTTCTCCAAAACGGATTTTTTGCGTACTGCAAGATTCGTAACCGGGAACATCGGCCGACAAGGATGGCAAAAAAATTACTCATAGGCTGCAGGTTGGGTCCGATCCCGTGGCTCTCCGTCATCTGGATTTACGGATCTACAGTGATCGTATGCTCAATAGGGATCTCGAGATCACGAGGTAATGGACCAGAATGGTTGGTCTTCATCTCCGTCGTCGATGTACGCTAAATCCTTAGTTTTGTTAATAAGTGAGTTTCGAAGCGGAGAGCTCACGGGATTGTTTTGGGCGGCTGTTGTCGGGGGAGAACTTCTCGAAGACGACCCGCTAAGTCACAGGACGGTGTCCAGCATAAACAGACTGCGAGTTCGGCTTTCATCCTGAAATTCAAGTTCAATTTTAGGATATCGATCATCTTTCTGGTTCACCATTCGAGCACTGTCAGACTCAAGTTTATCAGGGGGCAAACGGGGGAATTCAAGGTGCGCGTAGCTTTTCGGACCCGGTCCCCAGCTGTTAACCTCATTTCCTTACAACGGCCGGATAGAGGCAGGGACTCCGAGTCTTCGCGGACGCTTTCTCCCTCGGACTTCGACCGGGTCGTTCAGATCGACTCAGGGAGGCTGGCAATCAGGATCATGATTCCAATCTAATGGAAAACGGCAACCAAGACCGCGATTCTGATGATGATGAAGATAATGATGATCGCATTTCCCCCGAGCCAAAGATTCAATTCTCCGAGCGGGGCATCCCCTTTGCGGGAGATTTTCCTAAGCGAGCAACCCTTTGAGAATCCTTCTTATCACCCATTATATGACGAACGTTAGAGCATCGTTTTGGGTGAAGACTCGTCATTTGGCATTCATCTCTCGGACCGAAAAGCCAGGGAACCTATTGAGATATGGGAGGAGCAGCCGTGCGGAAGAAAAAGCGCAACGGAAGCACCGAAGAAAGACCGCCGGACGAACAAGCAGCTCTCTTATTCAGTAGCAGAAGGACAGGCAGCAGCAGCGACGACGACGACAGCGACGGTCTACCTTCCATTCAATCGGGTCACGAAACGGGGTTTCTTTTAAGAGAAGTGGAAATAAAGGGAGTGGAAAGAAGATTCTTTTTGTCCCGACTACCGTCGCGTCGTCGGCCTGCGGGTCCTACCGAGCTGACTGAGCTGGGCCCCAGGTCCCTTTCGGGAAGAACCGCCTTTTCGGTGTACCTTAATGCAGCTGATAACCCGTCCGTCCACGACCATCGTCGCAGCCATTCCGCGACTGTGACCGACAGCGATTTCGCCTTGAGGCCTCACTATTGTGCTCTCCAACGCGAGGGGCACAATCAGGAGGAGCGGAGCCTACAGACAGACCTCCACAACAACAGTTACCCCATCGCCGGCTCTGAGTTCCCTCGACCGATGGAGTTGTCGTCGAACGCTGGCGTACCCTCGAGACTCATCTGACAGTGTTGCTCTTCATTTTCCCTGACAATGCGTCCCGGCAATCGAGTCGCAGCAGGCAGCAGCACCAGTTAATAGATGGAGATCCACCTGCCCCTAACGTACAGCCCGCCGGCCGGCGGCGTGACGAATATGCTTCCGACTGCGCGGCCGAAGGTCGGTGGCTCACAGTAGCAGCGCAGAGGCCACGCGGCGCGACTGAAGGTTAGGTGGGCTGGTGGATTGTCGACCCGGCGGGCGGACGGTCGGTCCTCGGTTTTGTCGCTCGGTTGGCTGTCTTTGAAGTCTCAAGGTCGTGAGTTCTTCTCAAATCCCCGAGGTACATTTCAGAGGCAGATATCCTAAAGTGCTGCGAGGTCTACTGTAGCGTTGCAAACTTTCACAAACGGAGCGAATTGGACTAAAAGTTGCTCGCCACTTGAGTGCTGGTGGGACTTATCGACAATCGCGTCCACAGAGAATCGATGATATATGCGCGAGATCGTAAGTTCGATATCCGTTTCGAGAACCGGGATCCGCAGTGCCTCTTCACGCTCGAGGAATACGTTGCTTGTGGGGTTTCTCCTCCGGCTTCATCGGAATGTCGACGGAATGGCGATTCCGAGTTTTGGATGAGTTTTTTACCCTGCCCGCCGCGCACTTTTTGCCAACTCGGGAGAAGACATTGGTCGCGACAAACGCCAACGGCAAATAACACCGCTTAGAGAGGAGCTCGCGGACCCATGGCCTTTGGTGTGTTATGCGCGCTCATGCCCAGTGCACCCACCGTGTGCAATAAAGGTCATCGGCGCGATCGAACTGCGGGATCGCTCCGATCTTGACGTGGCGTTTAGATCGTCGATTTTCGCTGATTGTGAGACGCGACCACAGCGGCCACAAGCCTCGACGGGATGGTGCGCCCTTGCCCAACATCGTATTCAAGACACCGGACCCTGGTCAAGTCGAGCCATTGAAATGCTGGAACGCTCCCAGTCTGATTTCGCAAGCTCTCGAGTGCTTCAGAGCTATTCGGAAATATCCCAAACAACAAAGCCCTCGAGCGTATGGCTGACTGAGAGTCGCTGCGCTCTCCTATCTAGACTACGCTCCCCGGAATCGACGGCAGACTGCTCCCAGGATCGGGACCGCATTTTCCCTTTGGGAAATGTGTTCCTCACCACAAGACCATGAATGATTCTTTCAGGCTGAACTTCAAGCAGCGCCCCGCCCTCGAGCCTTCGGGTCAGTGCTCCGCATGGAGAGTCACTTCAGCTGCATTCGCGAGAAATTCGGAGAGACCTCACCGCGAGGCCTTCCGAGCTGACGGAGGTCAGAACGAAGGCTCGCGCCTTCTCCTACTTCATCCATAGTGCTGAAACATCAGCCTGAAGCGAACTTGACCAAGGGGCGGAAAGCCGGAACGACTTTGCAGCGACCTGACGCTCGCATGGGTAGCGAGTAATTAGGCTTTTTAGACCATGAGAATGGAGCGACGAATGGCGTTCACGCTGTTGGTGGTGGTGACGGCGACGTTTGTCCAGAGCAGTCGACCGGCAAGCTTGATTGAGAGAATGGCGAGCGCCAGACCTTGCGACACTGGAAAGAGCAGGGGCAGATTGCCTTCAAGGGGAAGGAATCATGACGGAGGTCGGCGAGCAAACGGGGGTGGGAATCCCGGACGGAGGTCAAATGCTGGTGGCGGCGTTGGAAACACGAACGAATTCCTCTCAGAAGCCAGATGGATAGAGAGATCCACGCTGTTGGACAGATTGCGCATATCGTCGCTGTCAGGCAGTTGCCTGGCTGGCTGGCTCGCCAACCAGACCTTTGCATGCCAGAGCAGCCCGAGCTCATTGTCCGCTTCCACGATGGCTCGATAGCCTCCTCCGAGCGAGACGTAGATACGTATAATGATGGCTGCCGAGTCGGCAGCAACAGTTCGCCGCCAGTTGGATCGGAATGGCGAAGTACTCGATGTTGCTGGCATGCCGAGTCTGTTTGTCTGACACTCGGTATGCTCGCTCCTCCGTCCGTCGGCATACCCGACTGTCGGTCGGTCTGTCTGTCCGTTCGACCAACCGTTCTTCTCTTCATATGTCTGCTCGTCCGGGTGAGTGAGTGAGTGAGTGAGTGAGTGAGTGAGTGAGTGAGGGCATGCAGGAAGGCAAGGCGGCCTCTGCGAACGGAGAGCGCGAGTTCGCCGAAGGTTCCGCGATGCGCTTTTCAGAAGTTGGAAAGAATGGAGGAGCGGAGAACCTCTAGAGACGCCGTGGCATCTGACACGCGAGAGGTACTCGGAGAGGAGCCCCACTTCTAACCCTGACCCTAGCCCTCCGACGTTGCTAGCGCCGCTGTGCAAAAGGAGCAAAACACGCTTGACGTCGCTTGTTTTTTTCGTTCGTTACTCCGCTATTCTTTCCGCTGGCTGTTGCAAACTAAGCGTGAGTTGCTGCTTCGGTGCGTTGTTGGCCCTGTTCCGCGCCTCGCATCCGTTCGCGGACTCGCTCCCGCACTTGTCCCGAGTCGAGAGTCTCTCCTGCTGCTCTCGTTCGCGCTTGAAATCCGATCTCGACTTTTGTTGACCAACAGATAAGCGGTCGGCAGCGATGCTCATCGCTACGCCACCGTTGTTCTGTTTGGCGGACGATGGAGATCATTTCGAGCATCGTCGGCTTTCGAGCCTTCGATTTCCCCCTCGCTCGCTGCTCCGACCTGTTTCGAGCCAATAAACGAACTATTCGGAGTTCACGTGGTCGCCTCTCGCAGTCCGCTGCACGCCACCGTGTTTGCAATTCAGCAGCACGGTACGGGTCATTTCACATTGAAGACTCGCAGATGCCCCTTGATGCAATTCGATTCCGAAGCTATTGTCAGCTTGTCGCTCCTGATTTCACAGGGGTCTGTGTCGCAGCAGCCCGGAAGCCTTAGCGATTTGTCTGTCGAGACGACAAAGGAGGAATAACGAAACTCTCGACAACATGCTCTCCTCCGCCGATTCCGACAGCGACGTCAACAACGACGATTATTCGATGTACTGCGGAAGAGGAGAAACTCGGAGGCATCGTCGGGCGGCGGACAGGCGTTAAAGGAGCCTGTTCTTTCATCGCTGTTCCTGACAGATGAGCGATCATACGCCCAACCGGTGCTGTTGAATAGTGATGGATAACAGTGAGTGCCTGCGACACGACAAGCAATTTTCAAATTTGCGTCAATCTACTGCGAACTCACTTGGAGCCCCTTGGTAGTAAAGAAGACGACGCCAGACACCGTCCCAGAATAACAACCACGAGCAGACGAGGGATAGAGAGAGAAAACAGAGCCACAGAGATCGTCCTCTCCTAATCGAATTTCCCTCTGTGGTGAGAGCCATTTCAGCACGCGGCTCAGCCCGCGTCTCGGAAGTTATGCCTTTTCCACAGCTTCTTGTGACTCTAGATATCTCTTCCTCGAGGAGACGGAGGAAGAAAATCATCGTCTGCACCCCATTTCTCGGTGTCGACAATGCGATTGCTACACAAACGTGGCACTCAAAGACTGCTCGTCTGCTGGAGAAGCTCTGACTTTGACATCGAATGCGTTGCCTGGTGCGGGAAGCCCTCCCAGAGCGTCCTCCCTACTACTGGCCCGCATCGACAATAAGCATCGGGAATCAACCATTCCCCTGTATTCCGCACAGATAAGCATGCGGAATGCAGTCTATAGAACGATCTTCGAGTGCCAAGCCAAACTCTTCAAATCGCCCGCTCGCGGATCTATCAGCTAGAAGTCGATCAGCTATTCTATCTCATGAATGTATTCTCAAAATTAGATTTTTTTGAAAGAGTCGCTCACCCTCTGGCACCACACAAGAAACTCATCAAACGACACGAGACCATCATGATCGGCATCGATTAACTGTAATTGGAATACACCTCCTTTATAATATTGTCTTCATCTAATCCAGGAAAACTACGAGGCGACGGGAGAAGTTCAGAATGGCTGCGCTTATTTCGTCGCGTACGACCCAGGTCTGATGTGCGCATAGACAAATGATTACTCGCTCCTCGCTCGGTCTGGCAGACATACATAGGTATGGTAATAATTAGAGAAGAACCGCATGACTCGTTGTCCAAGTCGAAAGCATTTTCTAGAATTCCCTCACTCGGCTCGCGTCTTGTCTACTCTGCGGTGATCGCAGGAAAGCCTGGGGTGCTGCTGACTTACGTTGAAAATCTTATCGACGTGCTCCTTGGCCGTATGTTCGTTCACCTGCGGCTGTGTCCAGTGGCCCAGCATGTCGTATATGGCGGAAACTACACGCAGCATTTCCGTGCGAGAGATGAAGCCATCTCCATTTAAGTCGTACAGCCCGAAGATCCACTGCACCTTCTCTGTGACACTGCCTCGAGAAAGTGATGAGAGCACCTGCGCGAAAACGTCGTCGAGTTAGTCGCAGCGACAGGAGGTCGGTGATGTATTTGATGCATGTCGCAAGTTGCATCACAGGGCAGATCCCGTGCAGGTGCATGATCCCCGTTCCCCATCCCATGAGGTCCTATTCGACCCTGATTCCTCGCTCTAGAAGAGGTACGCATCGCACCGAGGCCATCTGGACAGGATTTCGTCACTGAGGATCGCCATTGAGGCCGAACGCTTCACTGTGTAGTCGGTGGTCGTCATTTGGTCAGAAAATGAGTGAATGAGAAAACGAATATGATCATCGGGACAATGACTGCTCCTCTGGCAAAAGAGACGCAGCGCTGGAGAAGTGGTCGTTAGACGATCAGCGATGAAATACCGCAACCATTGTCAGCCTCGATGCACACGGCTGCCATGGTCTCTATGTGTTCCGTGCGTTAGTGTCCCCACGTACCTGGAGAAACTGTTCGAACGTTAGGCATCCGTTGTGACCATATTGCTTCATGGTGTTGAACACGTAATGGGCATACTGAGAAGCATCTGAAATGTAGATTTGCCGCTGCAGTCTCCGTTCCTCGGTTTTGGGAGCCTGAGCGATTCCGCCTCGATCCCTGCATCAGGGTCATTTCCCGAATATTTTCTGAATTTACCTCCTTGTGGGAAAAATTGGGCAAATATGAGTTTGAACGCGTCTTCGTCGACTAGACCCGTTGGGCATTCCTGAATGATGGGGGAGAAAGATGATTGGATTATTTATCCGGTGCTTTCAATAATTTCGGTAGCGACGCGATCGGGTTCGATCTCGTTCGGACTCACCTGCTTGAATCCCTGATAAATGAGACGTATTTCCTCGCGGTCGAACTTCGTATTCTTACAGAGTTCGTCTAGTCGTTCGGGCTTGTATCGAGGACCGAACGTTTCCTCTTCTACCTCGGGCTCTGAAATGAAGACGGAGAAATCATTAATCAAATGTCCCGATCTCTAAGGGGTACTCACTTCGTCGGCGTGAAATTTCCGACAGCGATCTCCCCCTTTCCCTCGTCGTCGGCTCTCCCATCGAGGAATTGTGAACGATTCGCAAGAATGTATTACGATTTCACGTGTGCGTGTCTCAGAATCGAGCCGCGATGAAGAATTGAAGCGCAAAAACTCGCGTGATCTTGTTTTCAAATGAGAGTCTAACGTTCCGCCGCAGCGAATTCTCCCTCGAACGTTTCCATTCGAATGGAGTCTCACATCGTTTCTCAGAACTCGCCGCGGCCATTGAGCTTTCGTCCGGAGAGTGAGACCGGCTCCGCCAGAAGCTGGAGGTTCGAGCACGGAAATTGCAGCGCGTAGAAGTTGACAGAGCAGGAGTGCGTTTTGGTGTTTGCTTATGGGGAGCCTGTTGCGGTGAGGAATTTCAGACAGACGCACGCCACTGGAGCAGCAGCCCGCTACGCAGAGGAATGAACTCCATGCGAGCTCGTTTGCGCAAGGCTCCACCGAAAGTAGATATCGACGAGAAGTTCCGCGAGAATGCTCCAAAAAGCGTCTCGGAACGGAGCAGAACAGCATTCGAGCGGGGGCTAATAAAGCATTTCGCTGCAAGGGGTACGAAATTGAAAAAAATTGGTAGACTTCGGCAGAGTCGACGGTACGACATAGCGACCGGTGAGAAAGGCTCTGAGGCATGAATTCAGAAAGCCGTGCGTATGGCGAAGAGCTCAAGAGCAGCATCCGAACGTGGCGAGGAAAACTTGGAATTATCTCGGACATTTTGAGCACGAGCCGTGTTCCGAATAGCATCTTCGTGGAATACCTCTCTCGCGTTCGAGCAGATGAGCATGGAAAATCGCGCAATGCGATCCCCCCCCCACCTCCTACTCGCGCTGAAGGGATGCCTGCAAGCGTCGCTCCAGAATGTGTCCCATATCCATCCCATATCACAAGACGTCCGAGTGTAACAAGAGCAGACTTCGCTTGTAGGATCTCGGACATGGATTTCGTTCTCATAATCATCAGTCTTTCCCCAGAGATCAGCCCCAGTACTTGCACAGTCCACCGGCCATCGCTTCTGGCAATCGAAAGCGAGCACAAAAATTAGTCGTCCCGTCTCTGACGAGGGAAGCTAACTCCAAATCTCACAAGATCCTTGCGCCAAGCATCCTTCGATCCGACCCAGCTCGGAGCCCAAAGCTGGCGGAGCCCTCCCTCTAGTGGATGAACAACCCTTTGTTTGCGGGGGAAAATTTCCATCACGGCATTAGCACCCGAATTCGATTCGTCTAATATGAACACAAGCATTCCCGGTTCTACATTCAAAATAATATCTGGGTTCAGCCAAAAACCATTATTTAGGCGGCATGGAATATCGGAAAGTAATTAAGGGTCGCCATCGCGGGACAGCAACAAGGAACGCGCCCAACTCGAACAACTGTCCCGGAAAAGCTGCTTACCGACGCTGCTGCGGTAGGGATCTTTCGCACGACCTAGCGCTGTACTCTGCGAGAAAATCGAACGGAGTCGAACAATGTCTGCCAAGGAGTACTGTCCTTGATCGACGGAGAAATAAATCGAGTGAATTTCAAGGATCAACGCGTCGAATTATTACTCAGGAATCGGCGGCACTCACCAGCCTTCGAAGAGTTCGTCAGACCTGCCCGCACCGAGGCGAACATCGAGGCGACAGCCATCAAGTCTCAAGCTTGTCCTATTCGTCTCAATAGGCCGCTTTGAAGCGTTGTTAATGTCTCACTGTTCACCGGTGTTATGGAAGTTCCTCGGGTAGCTCTACAATGTTCAGGACTCCCGGGAAGCGAAGTCGTACTGGGAGAGAAAGTCGAAGCCGCTGTCTTCGAAAGAGGATGCTTCTCGCGTATGTAGACTCATTCGACAATCTGCGACGAACCTGACGGATTTCTCCCCGGGCCTCGGCCAAATAATACGAGTTTTTATGGCGAACCGACTGTACTGGTCTCTGCCTAGGGTTTTTCGAGCGAGCGGTTCCACCTGCCCAGTGGGTTGGTCGATCGGTCAGTTGGCCCTCTTAATTTGCGAGAGCTGTACCGCTGATGGCGCAGTTCTTGGCGCGCCACTCTGATACCGTTCATCTACGCACAGGTTGAGAGATTCATGAGTTGGCACATGGATTTTTTGTCCACAGTAAAATGAGCGGTCACGGCGGAAGTTTCAGATCTTCCTCCGCGTTGGAATGCCTCGAAGTGGGTGAGCGCGTATGCGTTCGCCGCTCGGAATCCGTTAGCAGCTTTGTTTGCTGAAACTTCAGCCGTCGCTGCCGCTGCACAAAACACAGGGCATTGTTCGCTGCGTAGCACACGGCAATGTATGAGGGAAACTTCACTGGCGACCGAGAACTCAGATGTTTTGCGTTTCCTCGCCGCTGAGGGTCTCCGGCACCACCTACCTATATATGCAGATCTCGGACGTGCAACGATGCGTTACGAGAATATCCAAGTCTGCATTGGTATCTGCGCCCGATAAAAGTTCACTACGAGTCGCTTCGAGTATCGGCGCAGCTGTTGCGGGAGATTTCACTCGTCGTTTCCCTCAATTATGCTGATGGATCCCCCTCACTACGGCAGCAGATTGCTTAAGTGACAGAAAAATCTCTCCAAGTCAGCGTGTTCTCCGTACGGGAGCAAGCGCCCCGGCGACCTACGGGAGAGCCTCAAATTCATTCCCTTACTCAGTTGATCAAACTCTCGACAGATTCTCATCGAATTTCTCATCGAGCGGCGCGATACTATGATAAGAATTATGTCACCGAGCGAGGGTCCTCAAGCCCCGAATTCTCCCCGGAAGAGTCGATCTAAGAGACGAACTCTTAGGAGTCTGCAACGATGGCCCAACTCCGTCGAGTTGTGAATGGGTCGAGGTTAATCCCGATGTCGACTAGGCACATTCTTTCGAGGTGGTAGGTCTGATTGGAGTTCAAGCTCCGCTTTCGGATCACATTTAGCGCGCGCTACAATGGGGCCGGATCCAAGGACATTGGAAGCGCTCACCCTTGGAACCTTTCCGCCAGCGGATCTGAACACCACGAAACCCCTCTCACTGGCGAGCTTGCACGGAAATCTGGAACGAAGCTCACGTCGGCCTCCATTCCTCCACAACACGGGAGGGGCTCTTACAGATAGTCGACTCGTTCGTGATCGTGGTCGACATGTCGAGAAATCTCTCCGGAGATAATCAGAGTCGGGAGCGGACGAAAAATTCGCACCGACCAGAGATGCGTACTCGCCGAAGTGGGGCGTCCAGCTCACTACTCACGTCGAGTGAGGAGCTACCTGACCAGTCAGCCGCATGGCAGACTCCCTCCTTCTAAACAAGTTTGGCTGCCGGTGCTTGAAAAGGTTCTGAGCGAGTCCTGACGAGTGCGATTTGGCTTTGCCGCCACAAACGAGAAAAAACGGATGGATGCCAAGTAAAGGCAGACTCATCATTTTCCCATTTACAGCAGAGAACACCGAAGTCAGCTCGCTCCCTTGTCAGCCCGAGGCCAGTGACGCCTGGTTTCGGTGGGGCATTCGAACGACTGCATGCAAGCTCCCCACAGTCCGACACTTCCAAGAACGACGTTTCGAGCTGCTGACTCTCCCGGTCGCTCTCAGAACGTCCTCCGAAGCTATCGGGCAGTCAGTGCCGGAGCCGACCGAGCCTGCTCTGAACGTCTATGACATGAAAGCTATGGGAAAAGTCGCTTACGCGGAGGGAAGTTTACTCACGAGTGGCGCGGGCTTTCTCCGATGACATTTTGTTCATGAGGGAGACAAAGCCCTCCGACAGGATCTTGTAACTTGAGTAGTTACTCGACATTGTCGTACGACGCGCGTTTTTTCCTCCTCCGGGTTCTTGCCTATATGCGCTCCTTGGAGTGGAGTGAATCGCTGTCTAGCTACTCTAGCTCGTGTTGACGTTCATCGGAGACACTCGCTCCCAAGGCACGGCGGCCAGCAACTCCACACATGAGTGACTATTTCACGCTTTCACGGATGTCACAGCCTGCTCGGCTTGAGCGCGGTCATGATTTGTTCACTGAGCACGATCTCGGAGTACTGCACTGAGCTGCACAAGATTCCCTCTGCGAGTCTAATCGTCGTTTTTATCCTTGTTCGCGGGTGGTAGTTCACCTCCTTGCCCGCTACTTGCGCGCCTAAAAACGTCGCTCACAAACCTTAGAAACGCTGGGAAATCTCGTAATAGACCCTGCGTTGCCTGCGAGGCCGACGCGGCTCTCCTCATGCACCGGCGAGGCGTTTTTATTTGTCGACGTAGGTGAGTAGTCGCTTGATGAGATTTCCACACTGGACAATCCATCTTGTACATACTCTCTCTCATAGCAGACATGAAGCCCGCGCTTCATCTCGATTTACGAGCTCGAGAGTCTTACACTTAGTTAGAGAGTCCCGGATGGGTCTCCCGCTATTCGCTTGGTTCTTTCCGTTCTGCGATCCCATTGTTCAGTATTCAGGATGCTCCCCGGTCGGAGGCGATCTAAGTACAGGGGCATTTTATTATCCCATTAGAAATATCAGCCGAGGCTCCTAGCATGGGAGGCTGTGACCTGGAAGCAACGGAGCAGAGCGTCCGAGGGAGAAAGCTCCCCAAAATCTATTCCCTGCTCATGGACAACGATCGGAAAACGGCTGCTGGCTCCGACGCCAGGAGGAACATTCCATCGCAAGGAACTCCTAGGCGACAAAGCAACTCGCCGTCTCAGGCGGTAAGTAGGTGAGCCGGTGGTCCCGGACCACAGCCGAGCCGGATCCGAATTATGTCAAGTATTCCGAGTGTGCTCGCTTTTGTTCTTTGTTCGAGTTTTTCCTCGCGGTGTCGTGATGGAAAATTCTCCTCTGTCAAAAGCAGCTGCTTCATTCTACGATCTCGGACGAGCTGCGTGTGTGAGTTAATAAAGCAGGTCAGGGCTCGAGGTCAT